TTGACGCGTGCGCATGGTGGCGCATGCCTGTAGTCCAGCTATCTCGGGAGCTGAGGCAGGAGGATCGCTGGAGCCCAGGAGTTGGAGGCTGCTGTGAGCGAGGCTGGCACCACGGCAATCTAGCCCGGGCAAAACAGTGAGACTCTGTCTCCAAAAAAAAAAGTCTAGTTTTAAAAGAATTCAATCTACTAATGGAAAATGGCTGAGGCTGGATAAAAATTTTAAAAAAGAAAGAAAATATAAAATATAAAAGAATTCAATCCTGCAAAGTGAGCTCCCCTGTTGTTTTATTTATTGGATAATACCTTAAGGCACAGAACCATTATAATGCTACAAGAACATAGTACTTAACTGAGGCCGGGTGCGGTGGCTCACACCTGCGATCCTGGCACTCTGGGAGGCTGAGGCAGGAGGATCGCTCGAGGTCAGGAGTTCGAAACCAGCCTGAGCAAGAGCGAGACCCCCATCTCTACTAAAAATAGAAAGAAATTAATTGACCAACTAAAAATATATATAGAAAAAATGAACCGGGCATGGTGGCGCATGCCTGTAGTCCCAGCTACTCGGGAGGCTGAGGCAGGAGGATCGCTTGAGCCCAGGAGGTTGAGGTTGCTGTGAGCGAGGCTGACGCCATGGCACTCACTCTAGCCTGGGCAACAAAAGTGAGACTCTGTCTCCAAAAAAAAAAAGAAAAAACATAGGTACTTGAGTACTTAATTGAGAAGGTCTTTGAAAGTATCGCCCTTCTGTTTTCCAACCATTTCTTCACCTTTGGTCACCAATTATTCCCAAACAACCTGCAACGCACTCCACTGTGTGCGGCTGCCCGGCTACTGAATCGGGCAGTTGGAAAGTGCATAAACTCTTTCAGACCCTAAGTGGCTCCCTGGTAGTCTGAGAGAATTTATACACTTCCCTAATAAACGCCCAGCCTCCTAGAAGAGGGAGTCAGCAAGCCACGGGAGGATTGGGGCCATTACTCAGCGGAGAAGGCTGCCCAGAAAGACACACAAGGCCACGGTTTTGCTCCCTGCCTCAACCAGGACTTTCCAATGAGCCAAGTCCCTTGGCACTAGCCTCGGTCCTGTCCTTCCAGCCTCATTCTGCTCTGGACGCACCGTCTCGTTCTAGCTTTTCCTCTGACTCACCAGTTTGTTGCTCCCAGCTCAAGCTCTGCCACCAACCCTTCCCTCTCAGTCCCCTGTTCCTTCATTCCCAATATCCACCAATGCCAACACTGGATACGATCATCCTCCCCCAAATCTGTCTCTCTCACTACGACATCCCAGCACCCAGAAGAGTATCTGGAGGTTTGGCAGGACATGGTGGCTCAGGTCTGTAATCCTAGCACTCTGGGAGGCCGAGGCGGGAGGATTGCTCAAGGTCAAGAGTTTGAGGCCAGCCTGAGCAAGAGCGAGACCCCAGTCTCTACTAAAAATAGAAAGAAATTCATTGGCCAATTAAAAATATACATAGAAAAAAAAATTAGCCAGGCGTGGTGACGCATGCCTATAGTCCCAGCTACTTGGGAGGAGGCCGAGGCAGGAGGATCGCTTGAGGCCAGGAGTTAGAGGCTGCTGTGAGCGAGGCTGACGCCACGGCACGCTAGCATGGGCAACAAGACTGAGACTCTGTCTCAAAAAAAATAATAATAAAAAAATAAAATAAATAAAAGTATCTGGAGGCTTCATGAATATTTGTTGAATAAATGAATGAACATAACAAACAACAGGGCCACTCTGTCGTACTTGCATCATGGAAATTCTGCATGGAGGTCATGTCTGGTGAAGCCACGTTAATTCCACCAAGAGACGGTGCCCCTGAAGGAGAAAACCTAACGTGTTTCCGTCCTCCCACCCAGGGCCCGTTGCCCCTTTCTGGGCCCTGGCACAAAACCATGTCCTGGCTGCCACCTCCACACCCCGCCGGCCTGCGGGGGCTATGGCCTACTTCCTCCCCTTCATTCAGTCACTGCCACCTCACCCCCTGGCCCCAGAGAAGCCAAGAGCATCTTCCAGGATGGATTTTCTCTGTTAGGAAATGATTTACTCCCTTTATCCGCATCAGAACGGTCTGTGTTTGGATTCCTGGCAATCTTAATAAACTGCAGGTAGGAGATGACAGAGGGGACCAGCAATTATCTGGTTCAGCTTCGGAGTGGGGGGGAGAGAGACAGAGAGCTGGCGGGGGACACTAGACACCACCCACCAGGCCAGGCCTTGCCTGTCCCAAGGAGGAAACCCGAGCCCAGGAAGAACACGCTAGAGCTAGACTGAGGTCACAGACAGAGACGGGGACAGACTCAGTTTCCACTGTGAAAACGCCTGTGGCCTCTTCAGTCTCAAACATGCTTGCGTTTGCTTTCCCGAAGTGTGATTTCCAAATGAAAACACCCACCCCCCTTGGTTTGCATTCATCGCTTATGCAATAAAAGCGTTTTTTAGGTAAAGCAAGAACTCATTAAAGTGGCATTGGGCAATATACGTAACCTTCACATTTGTGCCCCACATAATACGCTGAAATAAAAAAAATAAATAAATAAAAATAAAGTGATATTGGGTGAGAGGGGTTCATTAAATTAAAAATGCTCGCCTGTTGCTAAAATATCATCATTCCTAAGTAAAGGATGTGACGTGTCTTCACATCAAAATCTAAGAGAAGCATGTGACATATTCATGAGACAATGAATCTACAGTGTTGCATTTATTTACGTTTGAAATAACTACAGAATAAGGCCGGGTGCGGTGGCTCACGCCTGTGATCCTAGATAGAAATATGGGAGGTTGAGGCAGGAGGATTGCTCAAGGTCATGAGTTTGAAACCAGCCTGAGCAAGAGCGAGACCCTGTCTCTACTAAAAATAGAAAGAAATTAATTGGCCAACCAAAAAATAGATAGAAAAATTTTGCCGGGCGTGGTGGCGCATGCCTGTAGTCCCAGCTACTTGGGAGGCTGAGGCAGGAGGATCGCTTGAGCTCAGGAGTTTGAGGTTGCTGTGAGCTAGGCTGATGCCATGGCACTCACTCTAGCCTGGACAACAGAGTGAGACTCTGTCTCAAAAAAAAAAAAAAAACTTCAGGTATTACTGTATCTGAGCATTACAATTAAGCTCTAGATTTCCTAGAAATTACAGCCCAAATGGGAAACATGATAATTTATCCTATTCTTCTCTGACAGAAAGCATGCTGGTTCATGAGGAGAATTTATATATTTTTTTTCCTGGAATTGAATTCTAGAAGGAATTTCTCATCCTTACACAACAAAAAGCGAATACACGGGTAACACACAGCCAAAGATATATTTGTAGAAAAACCACAAATGTTCACAGCACTGTCTCAATAAACAAAAGCGAAAAATACCCCTCTCAGATTAGGTCTAAAGATGCCCATTTAACTTCCCACTAATTTTTTTTTTAATTCCTCTACAGTTTCATGGTCTCTTAAAAAAAAAAAAAAAATAGGCCGTACACAGTAGGCATCACCTACAAAACACCAAAAGGTATAAATCCAGCACTATATAAACACTGGTGCCACATAGATACAGGGGCTTTGCTGTCTGGGGAGGAGTAAGCCGTTCTCCTGGGTGTTTAGGGACAAAAAGAAAAATTGGAGATGACTCCAGTTCAAATGCCTTGCAGTTTGCAGACTTCACTTTAATTAATAAAATCTGTTCGAGAATTCGATTATGTGTTAAGGCCCTTGTTACTATGCTGGCCTGTTTTGCTTTTTGGAGGTATTGGGGGGTGGGGAACTGTTTGCAGGGGTTTGGGAATGGCAACTGTCCTTGCAAGTGAAGGTGGGTGGACACATGTCACACGCCGGCCGGCCTAAGTGTTTCTTGAGATGACAGACGGTAGCAAGGAGCTCACCTTCAGAATCTCTTCAACGCAATGGACTTCATTGGAGTAGGTCTGCTGAAAGCAGAGAGAGAGAGAGAGAAGATTAGCAGGCACCTCAGGGCCAGCCCTTTGCTGGGAACTTGACATTTCAGACGTCACGAAACCAAAGAGTGAAAACCGGACTTAATCCTGGGGACAACCAAGGGGGAAACAAACACCGGAGACAATGACATACTGGTTGTGACCCTCGGGTCAAAAGTTTGGGAGGGAAAAATCTGTACATTGAAGAATATTAGTATCTTAGTGAATCTAGAAAAAATAGATTTAGCAAATATGGAGGCAAAAGAGATTAAAACAGGTGCCACATTCAGCTACCTCACAGCTACAGCTAACCAACGGGCCATGTTAAATGAACACGAAGATGGTAACCATCTTGACACTTTAGTGGGTCCCACAGAAAGGCGGCCTCAGTTCAATCAAGGATAGCTCTTAGGCTGGGCAACACAGCAAGACCCCATCTCTGCACGAAATAGAAAAAATGAGCCGGGCATGGTGGCGCATGCCTGTAGTCTCAGCTACTCGGGAGGGAGGCTGAGGCAGGAGGATCGCTTGAGCCCAGAAGTTTGAGGTTGCAGTGAGCTATGACGACACCACTGCACTCTAGTCCAGGCAACAGAGCAAGACCCCATGTCTAAGAGGAGTAAAAAAAAAAAAGAGGGCTAGCTCTCAGGTTTTAATATTCTAACCTGCCAAAATTTCTTTTAAAGTTAAAAATCTCTCTAACTCAGGCGTGGTGGCTCACACCTCTAATCCTAGTGTTCTGGGAGGCCGAGGCTGGAGGATCGCTTGAGCCTCAGGAGTTCCAGACCAGCCTTGAACCAGAGTGAGACCCCATCTCTACAAAAACCAGAAAAATTAGCCAGGCATGTTGGTGTGCACCTGTAGTCCCAGCTACTCCGGAGGCTGAGGCTGGAGGATCGCTTGAGCCTGGGAGTTTGAGGCTGCAGTGAGCTACGATGACACCATTGCACTCCAGCCCAGGTGACAGAGAGAGACTTTGTCTCAAAAAAACAAAAGTCTCTAACTCTACTTCAAGTCAGCATTTTAACGATATACAAATGCACACATACACAAAATTTTCCCAGAGAAAGGCTTTAAATGGGAAAAGGAGATTGACGAGTGTGTTGGAGAAAATATCTGCGATTTCTAACTCTTCCTTAGCCCCCAGCTACACAAACGACGACTGCGACACGCCTGCTGCTTCTACCACTATTGCAGAAAGCGCCCAGGAATTGTCATTCTACAGCCCACATATTTTTAAGTGCAAAGAAAATAAAAACGTGAAACCTAAAACAGTATTTTTTCTCTGTACTAGAGACATGAAACACATCCCCGAGGTGATGATTTTCGGCAGGAGAGCAATGCACGGTGTCAGCTCAAGTTGTAAGGCACAACACGGCCAGTCCTACGCAACCAACGCTCTTCCTGCTCCTGCCATTGAGCACAATACCTGTTCCCGCAGCTGGAGGGCAAATGGAAAAAATGACCCTCTCCCCTGTTCTTGCTTCTAATTAAGGATGTAATTTAATACAGCCTAGCTCACAGCAACCTCAAACTCCTGGGCTCAAGCGATCCTCCTGCCTCAGCCTCCCGAGTAGCTGGGACTACAGGCATGCGCCACCATGCCCGGCTCATTTTTAGTTGGCCAATTAATGTCTGTCTTTTTTCTTTCTATTTTTTTTTTTTTTTTAGTAGAGATGGGGTCTCGCTCTTGCTCAGGCTGGTCTCGAACTCCTGAGCTCAAACGATCCTCCTGCCTCGGCCTCCCAGAGTGCTAGGATTACAGGTGTGAGCCACCGCGCCCGGCCTAGGTTTTCTTAATCTACCATTTCCCTCATCCCAGTTTACTCTAAGGAAGAGGGAAAAAGAAAGAATAGGACATGCATGCTGTCTTGTAACGGAATCTAATGGACATGTCAAAATCCAAGTGCAATCTGACCTGCCTAGGTCTGTTTTTGAAACATGTAAATTTCCTGGAAATGGTCTGATTGAACTTTTTTGCAGTTTGTTATGCTTGAGGAAGGGCCAGGAAGTTAGGAGGTGTAGCCAGAGAGAATCAACAATATCCCTTACATCTGCTGGATCCAACGCCCCCTTCCTCAGACATTATTAGCATGTAAACTAGGCCTGCCTTTTGTTTCCTAAAATCATTAAAGGGCACTTAAAAACTGGACCAAATACTAGCGCTGTATTTTAGCACAAATGTCAGACGCAGAAATAAACGCTGCTTTCACCCGAGGATAAAATGTGATTCTATCCTCTATACAGTTCCAATTTTTTACATGCATCATTAGAAAAAAACCAGCAATCAGAAGCTGAAGGTGAGTCAGTAGAACAAAGCGTACGATTACACTCACCCTGGACAAATATCCCCTCCTGCTATCTGCCGCTGGAGAAGGGAAGCTAATCAAAATATTTGACAATCAAAAAAAAAAAACAACAGTGAAGCACGCTGAACTGAGGGCAAAGAAGTTCACCTGCTGTTTACGACAGAATGAGGACGGGAAGCCATGCCTTCATGGGACAGAAAGACATCCTTCTGATCTGCATCATTAGTCAAGCAGTCAACATTTAGCCACCATGTTTCATATGTCACCCAAAAAAATTTATTTTTCTGAAAAAAGTTTCATTGCATGGGACTGAACCAGGACTGAAGAGCTTTGTCTAGATCTTACTATAAATTCGGAACATTTACCTTACCCAGATGCTAATGAACAGTCACCATCTATCTAACCTGTGTAAAATTTTAAATAAAGTCTTCACTTTAAGCGTTAGTTGACTGACTGTGAATTTTCCTAACAAGTCCATTATGGGAGTGGAGGTTTTTTAAAGGAAAGTGAGAAGATTTCATTCCAACTGCATGAGGATATATCATATTTAAGGTAGCATATGTTCATAGCGGCAAAATAATTGGAAATCATCGAATGGCCAAGAATAGGAGTCTAAATACCTTCATGGTACACAAACATACAACAGCAAGTTATGCAGATTTAATAATATAAAATATAAGCCTGCAGGGAAAGATGCTCATGACAGACACTTTTTCTTTAAAAATAATTGCATACTTTAAAGAAAAACTGCAAAAAGATAAAGGATCCCACAAAAGCTTTCACTTGAAGATTTCCCAAACGTTAGCTTTTTACCACACTGGCTTTGTGTTTTTCTCTCCCGCCCAAATACACGTTGAACTGCCTGAAAGTTAGAGAGTTGATGTCCCTTCACCCCTAAATGCTTCTGTGTACACTGACACACATTTTCGGTCTCTATTTAAAAGAGAGGCAGCAAGCCGGGCGCGGTGGCTCACGCCTGTCATCCCAGCACTCTGGGAGGCTGAGGCGGGAGGATTGCTCGAGGTCAGGAGTTCGAAACCAGCCTGAGCGAGACCCTGTCTCTACCAAAAATAGAAAGAAATTAATTGACCAACTAAAAATATATATATACAAAAAATGAGCCGGGCATGGTGGCGCCCTGTAGTCCCAGCTACTCGGGAGGCAGGCTGAGGCAGGAGGGATCGCTTGAGCCCAGGAGTCGGAGGTTGCTGTGAGCGAGGCTGACTCCACGGCACTCACTCTAGCCTGGGCAACAAAGCGAGACTCTGTCTCAAAAGAAAAAAAAAAAAAAAGAGAGGCAGCTATAAAACAGTCTGTACAGTATGATCCCATTTGATGCTCCAACGACCTGAGATTAATATATCTCCATCCTTCCTCTAACCCCCACGTTGGAGACACCCAAACTAGAGGGGAGGTCTGTCGCCTGGGTTTGCAGGGAAAGATCTGGAAGGACAGGCTGCCTTGGTTATAACACAGTGTACCATGGCACCTCCCAGTCTCCCACTGGGAGGAAGCCTGCCAAAAGGGGGGGTGTGGTTGAACAAAACATCATGTCCTGATCCATCTAATCTTCTTTGGTAAATAAAGACCAGGTCTTGCTTTGCTGCCCAAGCTGGCCTTGAACTCGCAGGCTCGAGTGGCCCTCCCAACCTCAGCCACCCCAGCAGCCGGACCATAGACACATGCCGGTGAGCCTGGCTCCTCATCTCTTTCTTGAAATCCACTTTTCCCATAGGCTCCCAGCTAAGAACTGCTACTCCTACTAAAAAGGACGCGTGTCCCCCCCCCCTTTAACTCTGGGGACAAAGAAGAAACCATCAGAGCTGGCCAGGCCTCCCTGCAGCCCAGGTGAGGTTAGGCTGAGGGCATTCAAGGTGAGACTTCCTAAAAGAACAAGAGGCAAGGCTGGTGCCATGGTAGTGGGCTATCAGGACTTACTCACATTAGTGTCGCTGAAGTTGGTGTTCAAACCCCCACTGCTAAATTTGACTGGCTTTAAAAAAGAACAAAAGGTGGAAGAGCAACAGCAGCAGCAAAAACATCTCTGATAGTTGCATGAATCAGTGAGATCTGCTTTTCAACACACTGCTGGCCCATGGAAAAATTTGTCTTCCCTGTAACTGGTCCCCAAAAAGGTTGGGGGTGATCTAAAACATTTTTTTTTTTTTTTTTTTTTTACAGGGTAATGATGGTTTTCTTTTGTTTCTACGAAGCAGCATTCTGTGAGTCCCATTCAACTGCCTCTTGTAAGTGCTTCAGACCAGAGGAGGCAGCAATGCCGGCCCCGGTCTGATTTCTCACTCCTCTCTCCTCTCGGGACGGCATTGTGTAATCACCAGGACATGCACCGAGACCAAAATAAAATACGTTAGTAAACGTCCTCTAAGCATGACACACGCAGTTTGTTCCAATAAGCTAAAGAGAGCTGGCTGAAGTGGCATGCCACCAAGACCGGGAGGCTCTTGCAATACTGTGTTTTAAGTCTCAAGTTTCAGCAGAGCGGCGTTTTTATGACAGTGCTCGCCTCAAAACAGCTTAGCTATCACTAACCAGGAAGCACAGAGGCGGAGCACGGGGGAGGGCAGCCAAGAGCCCTTGGACTGCAGATCTGGCTCCCCTGGGGACTGGTTCTGCCACCCTGGACAGGCCTCGAGCTGCTTGGGTCTGCTTCCTTGTTGTGACAGG